GTCTGCAGTCTGAAATTGATCGAACATACAATCAGGATGCATTGATAATTACTGGTGATTGGAATGTGAAAGTTGGAAATGAAGAAGAAGGATCGGTAATTGGAAAACATGGCCTTGGTGATAGAAACAATTGCGGAGATCACATGATAGAATTTTGCAAGACAAATGACTTCGTCATTGCAAATTCCTTTTTTCACCAAATGGAGACTATACATGTGGACCTCGGCAGATGGAATACACAGAAATCAAATCGACTACATCTGTGGAAAGAGATGTTGGAAAAGCTCAATATCATCAGTCAGAACAAGGCCGGGGCTGACTGTGGAACAGATCATCAATTGCTAATATGCAAGTTCAAGTTGAAACTAAAGCAAATTAGAAGTCCATGAGAGCCAAAGTACAATCTTGAGTATATCCCACCTAAATTTAGAGACCATCTCAAGAATAGATTTGATGCGTTGAACACTAATGACCAAAGATCAGACGAGTTGTGGAATGACATCAAGGACATCATACATGAAGAAAGCAAAATGTCATTAAAAAGACAGGAAAGAAAGAAAAGACCAAAATGGATGTCAGAAGAGGCTCTGAAACTTGCTCTTGAATATCAAGTAGCTAAAGTGAAAGGAAGAACTGATGAAGTAAAAGAGCTGGACAGAAGATTTCAAAGGGCGGCTCCGGGAACACAAAGTAAAGTACTATAATGACATGTGCAAAGACCTTAAGATAGAAAACCAAAAGGGAAGAACACTCTTGGCATTTCTCAAGCTGAAAGAACTGAAGAAAAAATTCAAGCCTCGAGTTGCAATACTGAAGGATTCTATGGGCAAAATATTAAATGACGCAGGAAACATCAAAAGAAGATTGAAGGAATACACAGGGTCACTATACCAAAAAGGATTGGTTGACGTTCAACCATGTCAGGAGGTAGCATATGATCAGGAACTGATGGTACTGAAGGAAGAAGTCCAAGCTGCACTGAAGACACTGGCAAAAAACAAGGCTGTAGGAGTTGACAGAATACCAACTGAGATGTTTCAACAAATGGATGCAGAGCTGGAAGTGCTTACTCGTCTATGCCAAGAAATTTGGAAGACAGCTACCTAGCCAAGCAACTGGAAGAAATCCATATTTATGCCTATTCCAAAGAGAAGTGATCCAAGTGAATGCGGAAGTTATCACACAATATCATTAATATCACACACAAGTAAAATTTTGCTGAAGATCATCCAAAAGCGCCTGTAGCAGTACATCGATAGGGAACTGCCAGAAGTTCAAGCCAGATTCAGAAGAGGAAGTGGAACAAGGGATATCATTGCTGATGTCAGATGGATCTTGGCTGTCATGGATTGAATTATGTCCCCAAAAAATGTGTGTATTGATTTCAGTGGGCCATGATTCCAGGTATTGTGTGAACTTCCTATATGTTGTAAATCCTGCCTCTATGATAATGAGGGAGAATGGGCAGCAGTTATGTTAGTAAGGCATGACTTCATGTACAAGATTGGATTGTGTCCTGAGGCAATCTCTTGAGATATAAAAGAGAGAAGTGAGCAGAGAGACAGGGGGACCTCATACCTCCAAGAAAGCAGTGCCAGGAGCAGAGCACATCCTTTGGACCCCAGGGTCCCTGTACGGAGAAGCTCCTAGTCTGGGGGAACATAGATCAGAAGGCCGACAGAGAGAGAAAGCCTTCCCCTGGAGCTGATGCCCTGAATTTGGATTTTTAGCCTACTAGCTCTGAAGAAATAATTCTCTTTGTTAAAACCAAAGGACGCACTCTGCTCCTGGCGCTGCTTTCTTGGTGGTATGAGGTCCCCAAGCTCTGCTTGCTTCCCTTTCATCTCTTATAAGATAAAAGGTAGTACAGGCCACACCCAGGGAAACTCCCTTTACATTGGATCAGGGATGTGACCTTAGTAAAGATGTTACAATCCTACCCTAATCCTCTTTAACATAAAATTACAATCACAAAATGGAGGACAACCACACAATACTGGGAATCATGGCCCAGCCAAATTGATATACACATTTTTGGGGGGGACATAATTCAATCCGTGACAGATGTTTACCTGTGTTTTATTGACTATGCAAAGGCATTCGACTGTGTGGATTATAACAAATTATAGATAACATTGAGAAGAGTGGAAATTCCAGAACACTTAATCGTGCTCACGAGGAACCTGTACATAGATCAAGAGGCTGCTGTTCGAACAGAACAAGGGGATACTACATGGTTTAAAGTTAGGGAAGGTGTGCATCAGGGTTGTATCCTTTCACCATAATTATTCAATCTGTATGCTGAGCAAATAACATGAGAAGCTGGACTATATGAAGAAGAATGGGGCATCAGGATTGGAGGAAGACTCATTAACAACCTGCATTATGCAGATAACACAACCTTGCTTGCTGAAAGTTAAGAGGACTTAAGGCAATTAGTGATGAAAATCAAAGACTACAGCCTTCAGTATGGATTACACCTCAGCATGAAGAAAACAAAAATCCTCACAACTGGACCAATAAACAACATCATGATGAATGGAGAAAAGATTGAAGTTGTCAAGGATTTCATTTTACTTGGATCCACAGTCAACACCCATGGAAGCAGCAGTCATGAAATTAAGTGACGCATTGCACTGAGCAAATCTGCTGCAAAAGATCTGTTTCAAGTGTTAAAAAGCAAAGATGTTACCATGAAGACTAATGTGACCTGACTCAAGCCATGGTGTTTTCAATTACTTCATATGCACGGGAAAGCTGGGCAATGAATAAGGAAGACCAAAGAAGAATTGATGCCTTTGAATTATGGTGTTGGCAAAGAATATTGACTATACCATGGACTGCCAAAAAAAATGAACAAATCTGTCTTGGAAGAAGTACAGCCAGAATGCTCTTTAGAAGCAAGGGTGGCGAGACTTCATCTCACATACATTGGACATATTATCAGGAGGGATCACTCCCTGGAGAAGGACATCATGCTTGGTAAAGTGGAGGGTCATCGAAAAAGAGGAAGACCCTCAGCAAGATGGATTAACACAGTGGCTGCAACAGTGGGCTCATGCATAAAAACGATTGTGAGGATGGTGCAGAACCAGGCAGTGTTTCCTTCTGTTGTACATAGGGTTGCTATGAGTCGGAACTGACTCGAAGGCACCTAACAACAACAACAGGACTTGATAGTTATGTAGTTTGAACGTGTATAAGCATGGTATAAGGTCCATAACTTCTGAAACAAAAATAAGAGCACATGTTTTGATATATAATCTGAAAATAGGTGGAATATTTGAAATCAGACCTCTCTTGGAGAACAGAAGATGTAGGGCTCATGGGTGGGAGGACATTACAGGTGGGAAGAATGATGGGACAAAGGTGCAAAAGACCACAAGGGCAGGACGGACAGGAGGGCACCAGGGTCTGTGCTGGTCAGTATGATAAGTCAGGTAAGAGGGCTGTGATGGAAGCAGATCATGGAAGCACTGAAAACCTGGTGCAGGAGTTTAGTCTCTGATGTTCTTTGAGTGGAGGAGCAGCAGGATGAAAGGTATTGAAGAAACAACAATCTGGCAATGGATTGGTTTGTAGTGAATGTGCTAGAGGGGTAGGAGGTAGTTTGAGCTATTGAGAGCTAGACAAGGTTGGTGACTGTGTGGTGGAGGAGTACTAATGTAATAGGAGAGGCATTCTGGAATACCAACTGGACGAATAAGATTAGATGCATTACTAGACAAATTTTTGGATGTTTGAGGTGAAGCTATTCCTTAGTTTAGAGCTGAGTTCCCCGTTTTGGAAGCTGGGAGAACAGTGGTGTCCGTTGTCATTTTTCTCCTTCAAAAATCCAAATGTTTCTTTCCTTGATTAATCTCACTCCTTTCTAATTGTGCTTTTATTTGGGGGTGATAAGGATAGATTTTAAGGAGAGATGGCATTTGAACACTGGGTAGGATTTGAGCTGGCAGAAATGAAATGGGTATTTGTGCTGGGGGAGGGGGTTTGAGGAGAGGGTCTCATCAAAGGCAATGGCATGGACCATTGGTATGTTTGGGGAAAATGCATAGCCATTGATTACAGGAGTGAAGTGTCTACCTAGTTAGGGCAGGTAACATTAAAAACACGAGGAAGGTGGCATCACACCCATGCCCCTGACTGCCTCAAGAGCTATAGTTTAAGATTCTGTTTACTGAGCCCTTTAGAGCCTCTGAATTAGTTATTACCCTAGAGCAAGCTCATTCCTGGCGGAAGAGGATTCAGGTCTGTGACAACCAGTCTTCTCCTTCTAACCTACAGCGTCTTACCAGGATTCAGGGTCGTGGGAAGGAGGGCTGGGTGAGACCAGATACATTACCCAATAAAGCGTTCGTTCGTGGCAGCTTGCTTTTCCTTTTTCCTCCCGGATTTTTTTGTTCTTTTGCTGAAATACAGTTAGGAAGAAAAAGGTGTCAGTCCTGGGAGCATCTGATGGACAGGTGTGAGGTGGCAAACAGCTTTTCTGCCTTAGAATTAATCAGTATGTCTTTTCACTGACTCCAGGTTAATTGATATACCTTCTGATCTTAAAACACGAAGTCTTGTGGAAATTACAACTCCTCACATGAAACTCACCTGCCTCCTCCCACCCCGGGCCACCTCCCCTTGCCCTCCTCCCTTTGCTGGCTTGCTGTTGCTTGGGGTGGTAAGGAGAGATTTTAAGGAGAGATGGCATTTGATCAGGGCCAGGAATACTGAGTAGGATTTCAGCTGGCAGAAATGAAAAGGGTGTGTGTGTGTGGTGGGGGTGTTTGGGAAGAGGGTATCACAAAGGCAACGGCAGGCGGAAAACATCTGATAGGATTGTCAGAGCCCCTAAACAGGATCAAGTGTCTGACCTTCAGGAACCTGCTCCCTCCACAGTGCTCAGATAAAACCTTGGTCATCAGCATGCCCACCCTCCCTCCTGCCACCTCAGGAATCAGATACTGAGATACGGTATAAAACCTTTTTTATTTCAAAATGCAAAATGGTGGTCATTGTAATAATAATAACAACAATAGTAATATAAAAAGCATTTCCCATCCTTCTTCCCTAGTGCAAAATGGAAGATGCACTCAGGTACCTCAAAAATACATAGTTTTGGACATGCCATCCCTCTGCACTGCTGCACAGCAGCAAAACTCAATCCCGAACTCTTTTGGTGGAATCGTGTGATTGGTCAGTTCTCAGAAGTAAGTCCAAACAGCGTATGGCTGGCTCCGGTTCTCTCTCCCTCTGCTGGTCTTCCGCGGTCCCTAGGAGGCGTGCTGCCTATTGGAGAGGCCCCGGCTGCACTGCACGGCCTCCTGCTGCTTGTCTTTCTCCTGCAAGGCCTGTGTCCGGAGGGCCTGTCGCTCCAGGGCGGCCTGCAGCGAGGCCACGGCGGCCTCCTCGTCCCGCAGGCGTCTGGCGGCCGTGAAGGGGGCGCACACAGTCTCCACCAGGCCAAGCACAATGCCGAAGAAGGCCAGCACGCTGCCCAGCACATACAGCTTCACCAACTTCCCCTTGGGCTTCTGGCCCAGCATCTCCTTGGCCAGAGGACTCAGCTCCTGGACCGTTTCCATCGCGGCTGTGGGCTCTTGGGGCGGGAGGGACCTGCAGGAGAAGCAGAGCAGGACAGGCGGACTTTAGCTCCTTAAGGCCCCAGCTTCCCCGAGCACCCCTCCGTCAGCTCTTGTGGGAAAAGGGGCCGAGCTGGGACCAGCGCCCCAGCCCCCGCGCGGGGACCAGCAGGGCTCACCCTAGGGGCGCAGCGCGAGCAGGAAGCGGCGCGAGCTGGAGGCGGCGGTCACCGCGTCTGTGGGTCAAGCCGGCCTCAGCGTTCTCCTTCTCTTGAGCAACCGCGGCTCTTCCAGATGGAGACTCAGCAGCCGACACCTCGTCAGCGTCCCGGGGCCTCTTTTATCTTTCCTCCGAGACCCGCCTCCTCGCCTCCCTGGCCGGAAGGAAGGAGGGCAAGGGGGAAGGCGGGGCCGGCACTGAGAGGCGGCCAAGAGCCGCGCACGCCTGGGTTGTATGGGCTGGGTGTCCTGGGAGGCGAATACTGCCCTGGGAGTGGGTGGCAGGACAACCGTGGACGCGGGAGGGTCTGCTCCGGGCGTGCGCAGGGTGAGGACCCAGGGCCCGGGGAGGTGTCCGCATGACTTCGTATATGACGACTCTTTCATAGTGGCTTCAGTGGGTGCACAGCCGCGTTCGTCCGGGGGGAAGCCTGAGGAGGACACCTAATAAGGGAATCTAGGGATTCTACGTAACTGAAAAATCTTTAGTTTTTATTCAGAGGGGTTATCACCTTCCTACTTGTGTGGGGATGGGGAGGGATGGAAGCCAGGGGGAGGAAGTAAGGGGGAGGGACCCTGGGTAAAGAACAGAACAGAACAGTTCTCCCATGAGTTGCATAATGCAATATACGCTTGTATTATTCCTTCCCTGCGTAACTGGTTTTATTCAGAGATGCTTACGTTACTAGGGTCACTTGATAGGTAACTATTCATTGAGGGTGTCTTTTACCCCTTATATGTTTAGGGGTGTGTGTGTGTGTGTGTGTGTGTGATGTTAGTCTCTATGTCTGCAGCTGTTTGTAGATGTAAAATATGTATGTGACAACAGCCATTATATCCAAGTTGTCCTCACTACCCCCCCAGGGTGCTCTGAGAAGTTGGAAAGCTGGGGCAAGGCAAAGATGTAAAGGGCGAGCTGGTAAACGTTTGTCTGCTGGTCTAGAATGCAAAGATTTCATGCTTTCCTCAGTAATTATTTGCCACGTCTCCAGAGCTGGGGATGCAGTTCCACTGTGCTGGCTCCGCTTTATCATGGAAGAAGTTTAGGGACAAGACCTAGGCAGTCTGATTGAGAAGCTAAAGGAGTGGAGAGTGTTCTTGGAAGCGTGAGGATGAGTGGAATTTTGACGAGGATTAAACAATCACTTTGGTGGGCTCTGACCTAGCTTTGGTGATAGATACAGCAGAGTTAGCAGAGTAGGAAAGAGGAGGCAAGTAGGCCAAAGGGCTTCAAGGGGCTGGGGTGGGGGTGGGGGGACATCAGAGGGTTGAGAGGGGGGAGATCAAACTGGCAAAGGTCAGTGATGCAATATTGCAACAGCCGATGACAGTCCATCAGTCTGAGCCAGGGGTGGGGAGGGGCGGGGAAAGGGCTATTTTAGGAATCAAGTTTTTTAGTCATTTGAAGTGTTAATGGTAATCTTTCTTTGGGGTCTGAAGAAATTTCCTAGACCATTCAGTTAAAAAAGGCAACAATAAGAACTCCCCTTTGCCTTGGCTATTAGTAGTTCGGGTAAAAGGATTTGTGTGTGGAAGTAGAGCAGGGTTACCTAAAAGGCTTATGTAAAATTCTGCATTGTAGTCTGCACAAGCAGTCAAGGTGCCCAAGTGCCTGGAGCATTGTGCCCCTGTTCATTGTTCTCTTAGCCTTGTCTGGCTGGAAAATTCTGTCACAAGGGCCAAAACTGAGTTTAATATCAATCCTAGCATTTCTTTTGAATCTTCCTTAAAATTCTGCTGCAGTCTCTGATAACTGGCAGAAGTTCTTTTTGAGCCTTCCCAAGGTGAAGAACAAGTCAGGTGTTCTGAAAAGTCAGATGTTCTGCACAGGTGAGGGTTACGAACAAGGTGACTTCTGGAAGAGGATAGAATATGTACCTTGCTGTCAGAATTTTCCCCTGGTTTTCACCCTAAAGGTGAGTCAGCCCAGCTCTGGACCCAAAACTCCAAAATTGACTCACCAGTAAGCGTTTCCTTTGTATTTCGGAAACTCAGACACCGATCACGTGGTTTCCAACGTCAGCAAGCCGTAATTTATCTCGAGTTCCCCTTTCCCGTGATTTGGTGTGTCAGAGCATGTCACCTCTTCAGATTAGTTCCCCTCTTGAAAATCTGACATGGACCCTCAGACTCCACCAGCATGCTGGCCAAGGATGGGCAGAGGGAACAGCAAATGACATGGATTGGGGTCCCCAGTGGATTTGGTGTTCCTGGTTTAGGTGCTGGCTGGGCAGAGGATGGAGTGGGAGATGGCGGGAGTAGAAAGGTGAGGAATCCAGCGCAAACACCTAGGAATTCTTGGGCACAGCTGTCTGGATGGGGACGGAGAACCCAGCTTCCAGGGTAGGGGCTTTAGGTAGGACTCAGGAAGCATGTTCTTTAACTGTGCCGGTGTCACTTTAGGGAAGTAAACTATTGTATCACATCACACAGATCAGACAGGTCATAGTTACAGAGGTCAGAGCATGTCGTAGGGTGACCAGCTGTCCCAGCTTGTCCAGGGCAGAGTTGTTTTCTGAGATATGGGACTTTCAGTGCTAAAACCCAAAGAGTTCCAGGCAAACCAGAAGACTGGTCACCCATCCCTGAATCTACTCCAGCGTATACTTCTGACTTGTCAGGAAGGCAGGAAAGGGAAGTTTTAAAATTCTGTATTTTGTTTTCCAAATCCTTTCCCCCTAGACATTAACACAGAGCTATGTGCAGAGGGAAAAATCACAAAGGGGCAATACAGGTGTAAGGGGTAGGTGCAGAAGAACAGTAGAGCAGTCTCAGTGACTGTGCTTTGGGGACTGAAGGGACAGGGCAGAGAGGTCTTTTGGATGGTCAGTTGTGTATGAGCCTCAATTATCATTATTATTATTACCAGCCGCTTGTTGCCTACCCCAAATCAGTGCTCACTCCTGGGATTCCAGGAGGCTGGAGGGTGGGGGTCATCGTAGTTGCTGGGGGTGGCCCTGCCCACTAGGCAGTCCCAGTCTCTCCATCTGTGATTCCAGCCCCAGCTCCTGTTCAGTTATCCAGCCCTAGCTGGGCATGACCCCAGGTGAAGCCCTCCCTCTCCATGCTTTCTGCACAGCCCTACACCTCATGGCTTCTTACAGCAGCTCAGAGACCTGGGGGAAGCTGTGGTGCACCCACAGGGCAACTCTCCCTTTAAGTTCACTTTGGAGACTAAGTGTGGTCCCTTTTTCTCTCTGAGCACTCTTTCCCTGTTTCCTTCAAGACTCCTCTTCCTTGTCCCGTCCTAATATTTGGCCCACTCCAAGGTGTGGCACACACCCTGCTCTCTCTTTACACCCTCTTCACTCCAGAGCTCTGGAGTGCTCCAAACAGAAGATGGCATGCTTGCCTCTTTGTTCTGGTCACCTGAGGGGATGGGCCAATTAGCTTTCTCTACTACTGCTGCTCTGGCCTCCCGCCACTGGAGTCCCCTTTAGTGTGTGTATGGTCATCTGCTTAGTTTGCAAATGCCATTTTACTCTTGTGTGACAATAAACCAAAAAAAAAAAAAAAAAAGCCCGTTGCTGTCTAGTCGATTCTGACTTGTAGCAACCCATAGGACAGAGTAGAACTGCCCCATAGGGTTTCCAAGGAGCACTTGGTGGATTTGAACTGCCAACCTTTTGGTTAGCAGCTGTAGCTTTTAATCACTATGTCACCAGGGTTTCCTGTGTGACAATGGGGACAAATAATCATAGACTTGCCAATTTAGCACAAGTAGCACATGGAAGAGGTATTATAGTCTGCGTCCTAATCCATCCTTCCTCTCCTAGCCCTTGTAGACTCCTCTTACAACTCGGCTGGCCAGAGGGTGGAGAGGAAAGTCTTTGCTCTCTGGATTTCTGACCTCCTCATTCAAATACTTTGAGTTCTCTCTGGATTTCGTCTGTAGAATTTTCCTTAACTCATTCTCCCTTTTGCCAGGCACACGGTTCCTACTTTCATCTACTCAGAGTTACTCTTAAATATTCTCTCATATCTTTGTGCTCTAGAATTGCAACATTATTTTTTTCATTAATCCCCTTTCCTTCCTTTTTCCCACCCTCATCATGCTCACCCAAACCATGCAGGGTCTTGACCTTTCAATTCTTGCTCAACTAAAGCCCCTTTCACAGGAGAGCTGATAAAAAGATCTATACATTTCACATTCCATTTGTTTTTCTAGTCACTGAGTTACTTTCATTTCATGTAAATTAGTTTTGGAGAGAAGGCTTCTTATCACTCAAATGTTAATTTTTAAATTTACATGTCTAGCTTCTATTTTTCTTTGTTCTGTAGACTAGAGTTCTGGAGTCCAGACATTTCTGTGTAGGTACCCTGCTATTGTCACAAGCTTGGCACACTTAAAACAAGAATCCTCACCTTCTCTACACTCTCACAAACTAAATCCCCTTTCTCATATCCTTGTGGGAAAGTGGCTTCTGCATTTTACCTGTTCTCTGGGCTTGAAATATTGTGGTCATCTTTGACTCCTCATTTTTTGTCCCTTTTATTTAAGTAAACAAAAGCCCTGATAACTCTTCTTTTTATCAGCTTAATCCATGTTCCCAAATTCAGGTATAGTTTGCTACAATAACTTTGCTGATGCCTTATCCTCTGCTTAAGATGTCCTTCTCTCCATTTTTCTACCTCATGAAATCTTACTCGTCCTTCAAGCCCTCCTTCAAATGTATGGTCTTCCCCGGCTTCCATCTCACTGCATGGATTGTTCTTCTGAGCTCCCCTAGCATGATCTCCCAACGTATCTAGTGCGTATCGCACTATTTCCACACAGTTGTGTTTGCATTTCAACATGTCCCTTCGGACATCTCACAGTCATCTCAAACTTTACGTGTCCACAAGAGAACTCTTGATTTTCCACCTACTCTGTACTTCCTCAATCTTTTCCATGCAGTTGCATAGGCCAAAAATCTTGGAGCCATTTGAACTCCTCTCTTTTCCTCACACCCCAAATTCAGTACATCATTAAGTTTTGTAGGCTACTCGACAATATATATCCTAAATCCAGTTTCATATTACTGCCCTTACTG